ACCGGGGGGACCAGGGAGAACCGGAGGGAAGCGGGGAGAGCAGAACCGGCACCGGAGAGAACCGGGGGGAGCGGAACCGGGGGGCTCCGCTGTGCACCGGGGAGAACCGGGAGGAACAGAACCGGCACCGGGGAGAACCGGGGGGAGCGGAACCGGCACCGGGGGGCTCCGCGGGGCACCGGGGAGAACCGGGAGAACCGGGAGGAACAGAACCGGCACCAGCACCGGGGAGAACCGGGGGGAACCGGGGGGAGCGGAACCGGGGAGAACCGCGGGGAACGGCACCGGCACCGGGGGGCTCCGCTGTGAACCAGGGAGAACCGGGGGGAGCGGAACCGGCACCGGGGGGCTCCGCGGGGCACCGGGGAGAACCGGGAGAACCGGGAGGAACAGAACCGGCACCAGCACCGGGGAGAACCGGGGGGAGCGGAACCGGCACCGGGGGGCTCCGCGGGGCACCGGGGACAACCGACTCCGTGCGGCAACGAGGAGAACGGGCTCTGGCACCGGAGGGAGCTCCGGTCCCGGGGTTACCGGGGGATCCCGGCCCAAACCCAGGAGCTCCGGTCCCGGGGGAAGCAGCGGGGCGCGGCCCGCAGAGGTTCGGGAAGGGGAAATGTCCGGTTGTAACCGGGAAAGGGCGGGCGGGCGGTGCCGTGACGCCGGTTCCCCGCTTCGATTCGGGTAAATAAATCACCGGGAGCCGCGCCGGGATCCCGGATAGGCCGCCGGTGATGTCAGGGCTGCGGGCCCCCCCCTCCGCCCACCGGGAACAAAGGAGGGCCCGGGGGAGCCCCCGCCCGCCGAAAACCGGGGGGGCACGGAGGCTCCGGCTCCATGGGGAGGGGTCCGGACACCCCCAGCGGCTCTCGGGACCCCCCCGGAGGGGTCCGGCCATCCCCCGGACACCCCCAGCGGCTCTCGGGACCCCCCCGGAGGGGTCCGGCCATCCCCCGGACACCCCCAGCGGCTCTCGGGACCCCCCCGGAGGGGTCCGGCCATCCCCCGGACACCCCCAGCGGCTCTCGGGACCCCCCGAACCGCCCCCAAAACACGCGACCCCCCCTCCCGCAGCCTCCTTGGGGAAGGACGGGTGGTCCCCAAAGCGGGGGTGCTCAGATTTGGGGGTTTTGGGAACCCCGGAGCCCCAAAACCAGGGGGATCCCCAAACTGGGGTCTTCAGATTTGGGGGTTTCTGGAACCCCAAACCCGGGTGGTCCCCAAAGCGGGGGTCCTCAGATTTGGGGGTTTCGGGAACCCCGGAGCCCCAAAACCAAGGGGATCCCCAAACTGGGGTCCTCAGATTTGGGGGTTTCTGGAACCCCAAACCCGGGTGGTCCCCAAAGCGGGGGTCCTCAGATTTGGGGGTTTCTGGAACCCCAAACCCGGGTGGTCCCCAAAGCGGGGGTCCTCAGATTTGGGGGTTTCTGGAACCCCAAACCCGGGTGGTCCCCAAAGCGGGGGTCCTCAGATTTGGGGGTTTCTGGAACCCCAAACCCGGGTGGTCCCCAAAGCGGGGGTCCTCAGATTTGGGGGTTTCTGGAACCCCAAACCCGGGTGGTCCCCAAAGCGGGGGTGCTCAGATTTCGGGGTTTCGGGAACCCCGGAGCCCCAAAACCAAGGGGATCCCCAAACTGGGGTCCTCAGATTTGGGGGTTTCTGGAACCCCGGAGCCCCAAAATCAGGGGGATCCCCAAGCCTGGAGGGTCCAAAACCCCAAATCCGGGTGGTCCCCAAAGCGGGGGTCCTCAGATTTGGGGGTTTCTGGAACCCCGGAGCCCCAAAATCAGGGGGATCCCCAAGCCTGGAGGGTCCAAAACCCCAAATCCGGGTGGTCCCCAAAGCGGGGGTCCTCAGATTTGGGGGTTTCTGGAACCCCGGAGCCCCAAAATCAGGGGGATCCCCAAGCCTGGAGGGTCCAAAACCCCAAATCCGGGTGGTCCCCAAAGCGGGGGTCCTCAGATTTGGGGGTTTCTGGAACCCCGGAGCCCCAAAATCAGGGGGATCCCCAAGCCTGGAGGGTCCAAAACCCCAAATCCGGGTGGTCCCCAAAGCGGGGGTCCTCAGATTTGGGGGTTTCTGGAACCCCGGAGCCCCAAAATCAGGGGGATCCCCAAGCCTGGAGGGTCCAAAACCCCAAATCCGGGTGGTCCCCAAAGCGGGGGTCCTCAGATTTGGGGGTTTCTGGAACCCCGGAGCCCCAAAATCAGGGGGATCCCCAAGCCTGGAGGGTCCAAAACCCCAAATCCGGGTGGTCCCCAAAGCGGGGGTCCTCAGATTTGGGGGTTTCTGGAACCCCGGAGCCCCAAAATCAGGGGGATCCCCAAGCCTGGAGGGTCCAAAACCCCAAATCCGGGTGGTCCCCAAAGCGGGGGTCCTCAGATTTGGGGGTTTCTGGAACCCCGGAGCCCCAAAATCAGGGGGATCCCCAAGCCTGGAGGGTCCAAAACCCCAAATCCGGGTGGTCCCCAAAGCGGGGGTCCTCAGATTTGGGGGTTTCTGGAACCCCGGAGCCCCAAAATCAGGGGGATCCCCAAGCCTGGAGGGTCCAAAACCCCAAATCCGGGTGGTCCCCAAAGCGGGGGTCCTCAGATTTGGGGGTTTCTGGAACCCCGGAGCCCCAAAATCAGGGGGATCCCCAAGCCTGGAGGGTCCAAAACCCCAAATCCGGGTGGTCCCCAAAGCGGGGGTCCTCAGATTTGGGGGTTTCTGGAACCCCGGAGCCCCAAAATCAGGGGGATCCCCAAGCCTGGAGGGTCCAAAACCCCAAATCCGGGTGGTCCCCAAAGCGGGGGTCCTCAGATTTGGGGGTTTCTGGAACCCCGGAGCCCCAAAATCAGGGGGATCCCCAAGCCTGGAGGGTCCAAAACCCCAAATCCGGGTGGTCCCCAAAGCGGGGGTCCTCAGATTTGGGGGTTTCTGGAACCCCGGAGCCCCAAAATCAGGGGGATCCCCAAGCCTGGAGGGTCCAAAACCCCAAATCCGGGTGGTCCCCAAAGCGGGGGTCCTCAGATTTGGGGGTTTCTGGAACCCCGGAGCCCCAAAATCAGGGGGATCCCCAAGCCTGGAGGGTCCAAAACCCCAAATCCGGGTGGTCCCCAAAGCGGGGGTCCTCAGATTTGGGGGTTTCTGGAACCCCGGAGCCCCAAAATCAGGGGGATCCCCAAGCCTGGAGGGTCCAAAACCCCAAATCCGGGTGGTCCCCAAAGCGGGGGTCCTCAGATTTGGGGGTTTCTGGAACCCCGGAGCCCCAAAATCAGGGGGATCCCCAAGCCTGGAGGGTCCAAAACCCCAAATCCGGGTGGTCCCCAAAGCGGGGGTCCTCAGATTTGGGGGTTTCTGGAACCCCGGAGCCCCAAAATCAGGGGGATCCCCAAGCCTGGAGGGTCCAAAACCCCAAATCCGGGTGGTCCCCAAAGCGGGGGTCCTCAGATTTGGGGGTTTCTGGAACCCCGGAGCCCCAAAATCAGGGGGATCCCCAAGCCTGGAGGGTCCAAAACCCCAAATCCGGGTGGTCCCCAAAGCGGGGGTCCTCAGATTTGGGGGTTTCTGGAACCCCGGAGCCCCAAAATCAGGGGGATCCCCAAGCCTGGAGGGTCCAAAACCCCAAATCCGGGTGGTCCCCAAAGCGGGGGTCCTCAGATTTGGGGGTTTCTGGAACCCCGGAGCCCCAAAATCAGGGGGATCCCCAAGCCTGGAGGGTCCAAAACCCCAAATCCGGGTGGTCCCCAAAGCGGGGGTCCTCAGATTTGGGGGTTTCTGGAACCCCGGAGCCCCAAAATCAGGGGGATCCCCAAGCCTGGAGGGTCCAAAACCCCAAATCCGGGTGGTCCCCAAAGCGGGGGTCCTCAGATTTGGGGGTTTCTGGAACCCCGGAGCCCCAAAATCAGGGGGATCCCCAAGCCTGGAGGGTCCAAAACCCCAAATCCGGGTGGTCCCCAAAGCGGGGGTCCTCAGATTTGGGGGTTTCTGGAACCCCGGAGCCCCAAAATCAGGGGGATCCCCAAGCCTGGAGGGTCCAAAACCCCAAATCCGGGTGGTCCCCAAAGCGGGGGTCCTCAGATTTGGGGGTTTCTGGAACCCCGGAGCCCCAAAATCAGGGGGATCCCCAAGCCTGGAGGGTCCAAAACCCCAAATCCGGGTGGTCCCCAAAGCGGGGGTCCTCAGATTTGGGGGTTTCTGGAACCCCGGAGCCCCAAAATCAGGGGGATCCCCAAGCCTGGAGGGTCCAAAACCCCAAATCCGGGTGGTCCCCAAAGCGGGGGTCCTCAGATTTGGGGGTTTCTGGAACCCCGGAGCCCCAAAATCAGGGGGATCCCCAAGCCTGGAGGGTCCAAAACCCCAAATCCGGGTGGTCCCCAAAGCGGGGGTCCTCAGATTTGGGGGTTTCTGGAACCCCGGAGCCCCAAAATCAGGGGGATCCCCAAGCCTGGAGGGTCCAAAACCCCAAATCCGGGTGGTCCCCAAAGCGGGGGTCCTCAGATTTGGGGGTTTCTGGAACCCCGGAGCCCCAAAATCAGGGGGATCCCCAAGCCTGGAGGGTCCAAAACCCCAAATCCGGGTGGTCCCCAAAGCGGGGGTCCTCAGATTTGGGGGTTTCTGGAACCCCGGAGCCCCAAAATCAGGGGGATCCCCAAGCCTGGAGGGTCCAAAACCCCAAATCCGGGTGGTCCCCAAAGCGGGGGTCCTCAGATTTGGGGGTTTCTGGAACCCCGGAGCCCCAAAATCAGGGGGATCCCCAAGCCTGGAGGGTCCAAAACCCCAAATCCGGGTGGTCCCCAAAGCGGGGGTCCTCAGATTTGGGGGTTTCTGGAACCCCGGAGCCCCAAAATCAGGGGGATCCCCAAGCCTGGAGGGTCCAAAACCCCAAATCCGGGTGGTCCCCAAAGCGGGGGTCCTCAGATTTGGGGGTTTCTGGAACCCCGGAGCCCCAAAATCAGGGGGATCCCCAAGCCTGGAGGGTCCAAAACCCCAAATCCGGGTGGTCCCCAAAGCGGGGGTCCTCAGATTTGGGGGTTTCTGGAACCCCGGAGCCCCAAAATCAGGGGGATCCCCAAGCCTGGAGGGTCCAAAACCCCAAATCCGGGTGGTCCCCAAAGCGGGGGTCCTCAGATTTGGGGGTTTCTGGAACCCCGGAGCCCCAAAATCAGGGGGATCCCCAAGCCTGGAGGGTCCAAAACCCCAAATCCGGGTGGTCCCCAAAGCGGGGGTCCTCAGATTTGGGGGTTTCTGGAACCCCGGAGCCCCAAAATCAGGGGGATCCCCAAGCCTGGAGGGTCCAAAACCCCAAATCCGGGTGGTCCCCAAAGCGGGGGTCCTCAGATTTGGGGGTTTCTGGAACCCCGGAGCCCCAAAATCAGGGGGATCCCCAAGCCTGGAGGGTCCAAAACCCCAAATCCGGGTGGTCCCCAAAGCGGGGGTCCTCAGATTTGGGGGTTTCTGGAACCCCGGAGCCCCAAAATCAGGGGGATCCCCAAGCCTGGAGGGTCCAAAACCCCAAATCCGGGTGGTCCCCAAAGCGGGGGTCCTCAGATTTGGGGGTTTCTGGAACCCCGGAGCCCCAAAATCAGGGGGATCCCCAAGCCTGGAGGGTCCAAAACCCCAAATCCGGGTGGTCCCCAAAGCGGGGGTCCTCAGATTTGGGGGTTTCTGGAACCCCGGAGCCCCAAAATCAGGGGGATCCCCAAGCCTGGAGGGTCCAAAACCCCAAATCCGGGTGGTCCCCAAAGCGGGGGTCCTCAGATTTGGGGGTTTCTGGAACCCCGGAGCCCCAAAATCAGGGGGATCCCCAAGCCTGGAGGGTCCAAAACCCCAAATCCGGGTGGTCCCCAAAGCGGGGGTCCTCAGATTTGGGGGTTTCTGGAACCCCGGAGCCCCAAAATCAGGGGGATCCCCAAGCCTGGAGGGTCCAAAACCCCAAATCCGGGTGGTCCCCAAAGCGGGGGTCCTCAGATTTGGGGGTTTCTGGAACCCCGGAGCCCCAAAATCAGGGGGATCCCCAAGCCTGGAGGGTCCAAAACCCCAAATCCGGGTGGTCCCCAAAGCGGGGGTCCTCAGATTTGGGGGTTTCTGGAACCCCGGAGCCCCAAAATCAGGGGGATCCCCAAGCCTGGAGGGTCCAAAACCCCAAATCCGGGTGGTCCCCAAAGCGGGGGTCCTCAGATTTGGGGGTTTCTGGAACCCCGGAGCCCCAAAATCAGGGGGATCCCCAAGCCTGGAGGGTCCAAAACCCCAAATCCGGGTGGTCCCCAAAGCGGGGGTCCTCAGATTTGGGGGTTTCTGGAACCCCGGAGCCCCAAAATCAGGGGGATCCCCAAGCCTGGAGGGTCCAAAACCCCAAATCCGGGTGGTCCCCAAAGCGGGGGTGCTCAGATTTCGGGGTTTCGGGAACCCCGGAGCCCCAAAACCGGGGGGATCCCCAAGCCTGGAGGCTCCAAAACCCCAAACCCGGGTGGTCCCCAAACTGGGGTCCTCAGATTTGGGGGTTTCTGGAACCCCGGAGCCCCAAAATCAGGGGGATCCCCAAGCCTGGAGGGTCCAAAACCCCAAATCCGGGTGGTCCCCAAAGCGGGGGTGCTCAGATTTGGGGGTTTCGGGAACCCCGGAGCCCCAAAACCGGGGGGATCCCCAAGCTTGGAGGGTCCAAAACCCCAAACCCGGGTGGTCCCGAGCCCACCCGAGGGCTCTTCCAAACCCCTGAGGGTTCCCAAAATCTGCGAATTCCCAAATCCGGAGGTCCCAAATCCTGGGGTTCTGCGGGGCGGATGCTCGGTACCGTAATCGCCGTGCGGGTCCCGCCTGTCCTCGGGCCGGTCCATGGTGGAGGCTCCTCCGGTACCTCCCGGTACCTTCCCGGTACCTTCCCGGTACCCTCCGGTACCTCCCCGGTACCTCCCCGGTACCCCCGGGCTGTGGCTGCGGGCGGGGCGGCTCCAGGCTCGCCCCCTCCCCATCCCCGGTACCGACCCGCCCCCGGGGCCGGGTTCGGAACCGTCCCGCCCCTCCCGGGGCTCCGGTGGCACCGGAGGATGTGGGGAGGGGGGATCCGGGGGTCTGGGGGTTCGGGGACCCCCCCAGAGGTGGATCCGGGGGTCTGGGGGCTCAGGGACCCCCTCAGAGGTGGATCCGGGGCCTGGGGGTTCGGGGACCCTCCCGTGGGGGATCCGGGGGTCTGGGGGTTCGGGGACCCCCCCAGAGGTGGATCCGGGGGTCTGGGGGCTCGGG